AAATACACTGAACTGAAATCTGGAATTTAGTTGAAGAGAGGGAGGAATGAAGATCGAAGGGGTCTGTTCCAGGTTGGAGAAACCCACAGAAACAGTTGGCCTGAACAAGGGGGAGCACATCAACCCCAGATGCTATCTGGGAGGCCAGTAGAAGACTGATCCGGCCCCCTGAACATGGATGTCAATAAGGAGGCCTCTGCACTCCAGGGAGCCTCTGGAAGTGAATTAGAATTTTTCCCTGGTGTAAGAAGGGACTTTGAGAGCTCACCCCACGTGAAGGGATACACTCTGGCCCTGGACACATGGGGAAGGGCCCAGGCCCAGCACAGGAAGATTTGGTGGACTTTGCAGAGCCCCCATTGAGGGCCCTACCCTGCCTGGGGAGTGGTTACATGTGAAACAAGCTTGTTCCCTAACTTGAACTAATAAAAAAAAGTTGGAAAATCAGTACTCATATAGGGGAAGTTACAAGTCATGTATGAAGCTGTTTATTGTCAATATGGAATCAAAGTCTTCCAAAACCACGTGTTTGTTTGTGTATCCAGTGATGGACCTGTTTCATGTGTGTCGATGAACCAAGTTACAGTGTGATTTTGTTCATATATAGACAATCAGACATCCATATCACAAAACAGAAGAATAATTTATTCCTAAGGACACATCACTCATTCTTCTTCCTGGACAATGTGGTAATAGTCAGGGTATGTGTAGTAGAAACAAAATGATGAGTAAATTCATATTCTGAGCAGCATTGCCAGCTTACCACCTTCCATGAAATTTTCTCAGCCAAAAGAATTTAGAGATTTCTTTAAAATTAAATTAAATTTGGAAGCTCTGCTGGTTAATTTTATTTGTCAAATTGACTGGACTTTAGGTTGTCCAGATTTCTGGTCAAACATTATCCTTTAAGTGGTTCCTTCAAGAGTTGTTGAATGGTTCTATGTTTCACTTGCTAGGCTGAACAAAGCAAGTTACCTTCATTCCCGTGAGTAGACCTCATTCAATCAGTTGAAGGTCTAAGTACAATAAGAGGCTGATTTTCCCTCAAGACAGACATCCTTCTGCTTGGATCCTTGCAACTGGTACATTAGTTCCTCCCACTGTTATTACTGGAAAAGTGGAATATTGATCCCCAGCATCCTGGCTCACCTTCTAGAACTAGCCAGTATCCAAAATCATAGAGCCAAGTCATTCTGATTATCTCTTATTCTCTATTCTTTTCTTGGATTCTGTCTCAATCTCCATCTTTATCATGTCTCTATCCTGTGGGTTTGTTTCTTTGGCAAGCGTTAATACAGAAGTCCAAATATAAATTTAAGTGGAATGAGATGATAATATTAATATCTATTATATAAGGTTATTGGGACTCAGGTTAATAGATAATAAATCATTGTGTGAATTACTAAAATGCTTTTGTTTTTACTTATGAATTATAACTAAATTATTCAAAGTAATCCATGAATAGGACTTTTAGCAGAAATATCTCACTTAATTTTTAATATTTGAGAAGTTTTCCACCCCAAACACATTACAAACATGCAAATAACATTATACAATGCTTACTACATAGAAACACACACATACACATGCATACCTGTTTATCTGTTAAACATTTTTATTGTGCAGATTTGAAATCTTTATAGGACATGCAGCATAAAAAAGTGTAAAATATATCAGTAAGCATATAAAATTTCATAACCTTTTGAACCAGCAACTGACTTACATGAGACTGAGCATCTAGGAAGAACAGACATGTCTTGGGACCCACAGTTTACAGACTGAATTGCAGAACCATTTCCCAAGTGAGTCTCTTTCTATAAAGATATAGAATATCTTTACATTTAAAAAGTATGCAGTATAGTACATTTTCAGTTATGTACACAGTTTAACAGTCAAACTGTGTCCATGCCAGTGTCTGTTTAAAATGCAAACAATCAAAGTAGGTAGCAGGTTCATAGTTAAAGTGTCAGCAAAACTGAGAGAGGAAATGAAAGTCAAGCAGAATTCCAATAAATGTATGAAAATGAAAATAAAAGCCCACCTGGAATTTAAAAATATATTTATCCCCCAAGGGCAGAGCTTTAATATGAGTGGGGGAATAAATAGCTTTTGGCTGTCTCAGGTAGGCCATTTTCTAGAGGACTCAGGTATACAGGTGAAATTCCTCAGTTTGGGTTCAGAAGACCTAGAACTTACTCCAGCAAGAACATTACCTCAAGCTTTTGTTATTGTCCCCTCCCCCACCTTCTCTCCTAACAAAGTGATGCTTGTATTAGTCCAAAGGCTCCTGGCAGGGGGAGAGGTCAAGTGTCACAGCATTACAGACTATTCCAAGTGCGATGCATAGAAGGGATCATGCTTGCAACAGCTTTGGCAGTCTCATTTTGGTGGCTTCCTTTCTTGGAGAGCCTTCCCTGGAGGCCCACTGATCAGCTGAGAATGCAGTACAGCACTGAGCCACTAAACTGTCCCAGCAATCGAGTGTGATTTTCTTGAAAATAAGGGAAGCAGAATAGACATTCAATCACTGAGAGGCAGGGAAAGCTGGCTTCCACCCCTGCCAGCTCTAGAGAGAGCTCAGCCCCATTTGTCTGCTTTAAATCATTTCATTGGGTTAATGTTGATCAGGTTTGTCATAGAGAAAGATGCTACATGACAAAGCACAGAGATCAATTTCAACAGGTTCTGTATGTCAGAGTCAGAAACCAGTATAGAGAACTAGCAAGCAGAGTTTCTTTCTGTGTTTTGTTTTTTTAGGAAAGCTGCTGGCATAATGAAAGTTGATGAGTTAGAGCCTATTGGAGAAGAAAAATTAGAAGGCACCCAGGTCTCGGTATAGATATAACAAATATTCAGGAACACAAAATAACAGGTTAAAATGTCAAGATGAATAAGACATTACTGGTATCATGATGATATTAAGGTCTCCAACTTGATAGTGATCGCTAGCTCCCACTAGATTGTGACTGTTAACAGTGATGACAACAATTAACTCTTGAGATGGCCGGGGAAGTATCTGTTTAAAACCTGCCCACTTGTCCTAAACATGAGGCCTTAGCCTGGAATTCTTCCCTTTCTGTGGTATCACCATTTTCGAATGGGCAGATGAGGTTGTTGGTCCTCGTTTTCCATCCCCACCCCCAGTTCTTCCTATTTTCAACAATATGTTTGTATCTTAGCCAATAAAACAATGGTCCACATACAAAAGAAAGGGTAGCAATGGGTTTAAACATTTCAGACTGTCAAAAATAGATGCAGTAGCTCAAAAGAGACAAGTAGTACATATGAAAGCTGAGGGAACAACTTCTTTGTTCTGGACCAAGACAAACCATTCATAAATTTCAACTTGAAACTTGAAATTGGCACCAAGGAAATAATAAGGAAAAAAGAATTGGGAATGCTTCCATACTTGAAATGTCACTCATATTTCTTTCTGCATGTTGAGACGGATATTGCTGAATATCTTGCCAATAGCTTCAAAGAGTGGGTCACAGAAGGTGTGGACATAGATGGAATAAACACGGCTGATGCACTGGATCTCAATCAGGAAGCTCTTGATGCATGGTACAACTGCCCAGATGTGCAGGAAAGAGAGAATGGCAAAGTAAATGCCCCAGATGAGCGCCATAGGGATGCCGAAGATGGTAGACAACAAGCGGTAAAACCAATATTTTGTCACAGTGAAGGTGGTAAAGCTGGCTTTCCAGATGCCATCAAAACTGTGTGTCCCTTCTGGTTCTGCAATCACGTCTTCAAAGTCGATCTGAAAGAAAGAAGTTGCAGAATGTGAGTGTGAACAGACGAAAAGAGGGACACACTAATTGAGATTTATGCAAGTGTCTAAGATTTGTTTGCCAGCCCTGTGACAGACAATATCAGCCACCAATAGCATCTGCCTCCTTGGAACTCACTGGGAACGTGAATATGTGGGTTCCTCTCAGATCTGATTAGAGTGGAGCCCAAAGGAATTTTAACATATTCCCCAGATGTTTCTTTACTGTGTCAACGGTTGAGAACTACTGCTTTGAGAACATATGAGTATGTTTAACCTTCTTGCTTTAAAGTAAAACTCAGAAATATGGTTAAGGACACACAAAACAGTGAAATGTAAAGAATGTGACATGATTTTACTGCCTTCAACGACAATCTTAACATACAGGACTGAGGACTAGTTAGCTTAGAATCCATTAATGGCTTTCCAAACAGGATTAGCAGAATCATGTCAGGAAATGTGTTCACTGGTGATCTGAGGCATTGGGATGGGAGGCAAGACTCAGGAGCAAGCAAGAATGAAGACAGGGAGTGTCACAAACAGAGGAGACTATAGTAACCCCATCAGAAAGACAGGTTGAGACTAGAGTGACAGTATCAGAAAGAGGTTGACGCCAAACATTTTCCATGAAGTGAGGGTCTATGAAGATATTAGAGCAGGGAAGTGCAGCCAGAGCCATGTAGAGTTTCTTGGGATGAATTTGACAATGTACGTGTATGTGTATAAGTGTGTGTGTGTGTGTGTGTGTGTGTGTGCATGTGTGTGAGTGTGTGTGAGTGTGTATTCTGGACAAAGGGGGAAGGAGACCAGCAGGGAGACTGTGGCAAAGCCCAAATGAAGATGGCATAGTCAATATGGGAATGGTCATAAAAAGAAAATAAAAGGACAAAAAGAAATAGGGGAGAAAGAAGGAGGAAAATGTGGAAGGAAAAGAATCAAGAGAAAAAAAGGAAATAATTTTTGTATATCATGGGAAGATTTGGTTATCTCAAAGAGAGAAACAAAAGATGACCTTTGAACTCCTGATCTGACTGTTGGGGAGAATACAAGTAGCATTAGAGCAAGGAGAAAAGTAGAAAGAAAAACACTTTAAATTAGCAGGAGAGAACGTCACTTTGGAATTGGACAAGCTGAGAATATAGTTTTGGTAAATACCCATGGCCCAGGAATTTTGAATACATCAAAAATTGCTCTTGGGAAGCAATCAACCTAGTTTGCACTCACGTAGTGCTTCGGTCACCAAATGCTTCTATGCATTGGTGATCTGGGATCTCAAAACTACCTGGAACAGTAAGTTCCTGTTACTTCACAAAAGAAGAGACACATGGTGAATTTCTAAAGACAGACATAAGCTATAGGGTGTTGGTGCAATTTCAGCCCTTTTCCAATAGCACTCACTTCTAGGTACCTGTCCACCTTCATGGCTAATCCTTAGACTTTATGTAAAATAAATGAAGAACAGGATTAAAAACAATTTGTCATCAGGAAGACTGGATAGTTTCAGGGTTACTGCTTGCTGACGGTGGCTATGTGAAGGGTTCAGGAAGAGTTTGAAATCCACACAAACTGTTGGCTATTCCTGCAGCCACCAGAGCTCAGAGTCAAGGCTAGAACTTAGGTTACTTCTGGCTGCTGCGCAGTGCCAAAGAGTCACCTTTGATTTAACACACGAAAGGTCTTTTGGAAAAAGTACACGATGCTTACCAGCTTTAAAGTTTATTTTCCAGAACATTCTGTTTCTTGCTCTATTGCCCAATGTCCTAATAGTATAATATGCAAAAATAGTTCAGCTATAATTTTGTAAATAGTCATTGTGCTTTTCCTCAGCACATTTAGAACTAAACTGAGAGGTAAGATTCACTTGTGTTTTTTCACAGCTTGTAAGAAGCCAGGAATATGGCTCAGCAACAAGCATAAGGATATGAGTTTGGCCGCAGAAACCACTTTTAAAAGAACCCAAAACAGACATAGGCTCAGCAGGCCAGTCGGCCTCATCTAATTGTGAAGTTCTCAACCAGTGTGAGACTTTGTCCTTAATAAAAAAAAAGATGGATGGCTTTGGAGAAACACCTGATATGTCCTTTATCACATACATACCACACACACACACACACACACACACACACACACACACACACACACACCACACACACACACACACACACACACACACATACACACACGTGAATGTACATATACACATACACACCACTCACAGGAAATATCTGGCAAATTATATCAATACTTGAATATGTTACATATTCACTTATAATTATAGTACATTATACTTATTTGTAATTATCTATTTTCAAGGTTATGGGAATAAATTCTTCCAAAGCAATGAAAAATTTTTAGTTGATTCAGCTAAAATATATTCCCTTTCTCTTTACTTTTTAAAGATGCTTTTACTTTGTAAATAAAACTGAAGATGTCAAAATTGCAAAATTTTCAGAAAAATTTAAATCTGGGATTAAAGGCTAAACAATGTCGGTTTGCAAATATCCTGGGCATGCACACCTGTTTGAGCACACAAAGGGCAAAGGTCCATTGCTTTTATCAAAGGGAATATGTATTACCTATTACCCCAGAAATGACAATGAACTGTCCAGGTGAGTAAGAGGTTGGTTTGAGGATCAAATCTATTCTAAAAGAAGTTGATGTTTTCTTAAATACTGAGTCACTTTACAAAAAGAAAAAAAGAAGAAAAAAACTTGTTGAAAATTCAGGGTATTTCCCAATAATGAAAAGCCTTGTGAATAGCGGTAGAATCTTGCCACACCCACCCTCCCCCTAGCATGACCTCAGGGGCAGTGGGACTGCATGTGTGTATGGCTGGGTGTAGACACATACGTGAATATAAGTAATTGGCCCATATTAACAAATATTTGGTTAGGGAAGATACCTAGGAAGATACTTAGGAACAAATATTTGGATGTAAAATTTGGATGTAAAATTTCTTGATAACAATTCCCTTAACAGTACGTCTAAGTACTTTTTCAGCAAGCATATTAGAAAGTCTTTTCTCTCCTTTTTTCTCCCTCCAGAAACAGGAAGTGAGTATAATATTCAAATACCCCAGAGACGTTTGTGCAGGTTTTCTGTAACAAAATGATGAAAAATTACATAAATAATAGTTATGTTGCTAATTTAGTCTTAAGAAAGTATGGTAGCTTAGAAGAATAAAATAGTGTAACCAGATGTTGTGTAGCTAGGAGCAGAAGCAAGGCGGGCTGATGAAGCATTAAGGCCAGCTGGGCCCTTCCTCCTCTCTACCTCCATTTCTACATCAGTACCCAACTGCTTTGAAGAGTACTCACTGAGTTCAAAGGCCTGAAACGCCGCAAGTGCTCAATAAGCAAAAGCATCAACAAACTCCTGGATCTGTTGACTAAGGTTTTTAATAGGTAAGCAGGTATGACTGACACAGCCCAGGAAAGCTGCGAATTCACCCCCTACACCTGGCGCAAAAGGATTAACCTGTTTGTGATCGCCTTCCTAGCAAGCCTCTGAGATGTCCATTCTTACTCCTTTTCACAGATGACGATATTGAGGGAAGTTAATACATTGCTCCAGGTCCCCCGGATGCTGGAGAGCAAAGCCGGAGTGTGTCACATTTCGGCGCTACACTTCTTTTGCTTCTGCATTGTGGGAATCCAAACTCTTACACTAGTCTTGGTGCTTAATTTTTGCCGGGTAGACTGGCACCAGAAACACACTCACTGTGGTTGTTGAAGGAATGGCTCTTGTTAACGTTACCACTTTAAGTAAGGACGTCTGGTAACAGAGATATTTTGAGTTGTGTGAACTGATGTTATTTATATTGCTCTGAGCAGTATCTTCTCACAGTCCTGGAAATTCAGCCAGGGACTGTCAAGCTTAATGGTAAATATGGAAACTGAGGCACCAAATGCTTAAATGAGGTAGTCAGTCTGATGGTCCCAAGTGGATAGGCAGAAAAACTGAAATTAGAATGCTAATTTCACAATTCCCAAGTGTACAAACAGCCAGAGACCCCCACACCTCCTTTTTTTTTTTCACATACCTATTCTATCTCTAGGTACCCACACATCGCCCCCTGCCATTTAAGACTTTGGCTTGGCAGTGTCTCTGCATACGGATTAGAGAGATGTCCTCTTAATTCTGTGCTCATGACATTTTCCTACTTCAGCCTGGGTGAAGAAAACTGGAAACGGTTACTTTTTTAAAAAAAGTGTGTGTGTGTGTGTGTGTGTGTGTGTGTGTGTGTGTGTGTGTGTGTGTGTGTGGTGTGTGTGCTTGTATGTGCATATGTGTCTGTTCAGCTGGGTGTGCATGTCTGTGTGTGGCAGGTGCTGGAGTCTAAACTCTGATGTTCATAATTGTATAGCAAGCACTTTTAACCATCAAGCCACAAGGAATACTCAACAAAACTATCTTTAGTGTCTATTTTGACTTGCATTCTAAGTGCACCGAAGTGAACATAGTTCTGCTAAGTCAACAGTTGTCTAGTCAGTGCAGGGCAAATTTCCATACCAACCAAGGCACAGCTATTTAGTAGACTCATAGAAATTCAAATCAAAGAATCTTAAACAATTGCAGTCCTATTTAAAACACAGGAATCCACGGCCACCACTGTCTTGGCTAGACCAAGACTATCTACTCATCAAATGACAGACACAGGGTTGGAAGTCATTCTCAGGAACTCTCCTGGCTTCTGCCACCACTGCCAGCTATCACCACATATTCTCAGTCAGTCTGGTGGTTGTGCTTTGTCACCAACAAGAACAACTTCTGGTCTTGTACTTGAATTTAGACATTGTCTTGTTCTCCAGAGACCTCACACAAATCCCCCCTTGCCCTGCCCTGGGGGGTCTCTGTTTACATAAAGCATTTGATTAACCTTCCATCAAAATTGCCACTCTTGAGTCCTGTTTCCAAGGGGGCTTATCCCACTTGTCCCCCTCCATTGTAACTGTACCTTGGTGTGAAATTTTGCCCTGCCATTGACTAGG